GGAGCTAAAAACGCATCACTATTTTTCTTAGAGGACACAACAGAAGTCCTATTCAGGACAGACTACTTTTGGTCTAGCTCACTTGCATATCAGATAAAGATATAATCACAGTATATGATGCTTTCAAAACCTAGAGCAAAATACTCTGCCACTTAAAAGATTGCTAAGCCATCTATCACCTCACTGTCTAACCTTTCATTTCTTGAATCCTTCAGGCATTGAATTTTTTGTCTTCATGACAGCAAGTTACCAATGTTTAAATTTGTTGACATGTATAGCTTCCCTTAATACATTCTGGATCATTCTTGTAAATTTCTTTATGGCAAGTTCAATACTTTATTTGCAATCACTGAATGGAGTGTTCTGACTGTGATGCTCGGGTCAAAGTTCAGATTCTACGTTTTCAACTGAATGGTTATCTTTTAAAACTTAAACTTAAAGTTTTATTTTAAACATTTTGACATCACAAAGATCTTTTTGCTCAAGAGCAATCGTACGTTAACATTAACACGCAGTCAAAGGGAAAAGACAAAACACATTAAATGTATGAATGTCAAAATAAAACATTTCTGGTTACTAAATGGTAAAAACATCTTTCTTTTCCACGGCTCCTGTAGAATGACTGCTTTATACAAAAATCATATGAGTGGAAAAATATGTTTGTTTTGTATGAGCTAATGAATTTTTTTTGTCACCACATTAATTTCACTTGTATTTAAGGTCGATTGATACCTTGCTGACGTTATCTCAGCATGTTATGTTTTGTGTTTAGCCTTTTGGCTGTTTGTGTTAGACCTAAAATTTGAGTAACATAAACTTGAGCAAACTAAGATAACAGACTGAAATAACTCAAGAACAACACCGAAAAACAACTTTCTGGAAAGCACTAGCTTTTTTCTCTTCTGGGAACTTGTGTGAAAATTCACCGTTTATTTATTTCAAAAGTGAAATACAGATATATGTATATTCAGGTGTGATGCCATTTTTATTCACTGCGTTACCAGGGAAACAATGTGTTCTGTTGTACTCTTACTCTCATAATAAACATAATTTAGCCGATTTCACTCATCAGCAAAAATAGCAAAATTGAAACTCTAATGCATCAACAGTATATGGAACTAGAGGACAAAAAGCTTCTTCAGCAAAAATCATATGATGCATTCCACACCCCACTATGACCATAAAGCATTTATACATGCAAATAAAATCCACCAAATGACGGTCATTAGGGTAAACCTTGCACACACATTTTAAATGGTACAAGATAAAATAACTATCGCATGCAATTTCAAGTTGCTTTCATTAAAAACCTTCCCTGCTTTCCGTACTTTTATTATCAGTAAATGCTACTTCAATACAGCAATGGCGTGACTCTGAAAAAAAATATATATATAATCAAGAACCAACACAACTCCATAATGCAGAAAGTAACTGGGAATTATGTTATAAACGTTAAAGCATAAAACTATCCCTAGTTATGGTCAGTGTTTCTTCTGATTAAATGCTAAAATCTCATTTCAAAATGGTTTTTAGATCAGTTGGATTTGAAAACAAAACACATAATATTATTTAATCGGGATGTTTTTCAGATTATCAAATTTCACTGGGAAAAATTTGTAAAAATAAAGCTCAGAGGAAACACTTGTTGTTTATACATTTATGATACCTAGAAGGCTAAAATAGTTTACCTTTCATGAGATGAATATGTGAGATCATCCTCATCTATATAGTCTTCCTGCATGTCATCACCATCCATTTCCATTCCAAGATCTTGTCCAATGCCAGAATCAGCAGATACCTGACCAGCTGAAGAACTGCAATCAAAATCATTTGTATTGTCATCTAAGCATGATAAGGCCAGCGGGTAAAAACAAAGGTACGTCTATATTATGTATTTCAGCTGATAAAATATGACATGAATTGCATTTTCAACATTTTTTGTCAATTTTGTAATATTAGACATAAACTATAAAGGCACTATAAGTATATACCCAGTAAGTATAAATTCTTTTCACCCTATGTCACCGAACAAAATTTTTCCATATGAAACAATAATAAAATGTCCTAATACAAAGCGTTGCTATTTTTACTTTATCGATTTTCTCAGAACTGTTAACCCAATATTTTTATTTCATTTTCTGCATGTCAAATATGTAAAATATAAAAAGTAGCTTTCTACCATAGTTTTAATTAATTTAAATAAAAGCTGAACTATGTTGCACAATAATAAGTTATTTTTATTCTATTATATGCAAATGACCCAACCATAAAGACATGCAGGATAAATTATTGTACTAACCTGACAGCTCTGCAAGAATAGAATAATATACGTTTCATCTTCTTATTGTAAAAGAAGTAGTTGAATGACCAAAGAACACCACCTTCTCCAAAGGGGTCACATTCCAAATCAGGATTGTAACTGAAACAAGATGCAAATATTATATTATTACTATTCTTCTATAGGCAGTTATTAAATGAGAATAATACTATATTTAGATTAACAAACCCATTTTGATAACTGAATAACAGGGCGAAAACAATTTTTTAAATAAAATAATTGTTGGATCCAACATTAATATTTATGAATTTATTTATAACACCTCGATTTTAATACCAGGAACATGTTTTGTTATAAATATAATTGCTATACCTGTAGAATTCACATTCTGGTAAAGATACTTCATTATCAATAGCAGACCACAGTTTAGATTTGATAGCTGAGTACATCGCTCCTCCAGTAGCAAACATGTTGCTGTCTATAGCATTGACAACCCATTGTAAACTTGGTTCACGACTGAATTCATGACTTTTGGTGTCACTACAGAGAATACAATTACAATTATTAACACTTGAAACTGAGAGGTGTTACTGTGTTACTATGCAGAAATTGAGCCGTAAGCGACGATAAAAATGCAAAACAAAACACAATGGCTCATTAGTGGACACTTGTTTGTAGACAACAACAGGTTATAGTTGTTTGCCGCATGCACAGGCTTTAAATCTCTCATATGGCATGTTACATAAGGGTTCACTAAGTTGGTAGTTTACCATCATCCGCCTGCACAGTGTGGTTCTATTCGGACATTCCGTTTTACCAGTACATACAGGTCATAAGACACGTATATGTCTGTTATTAAAATTTCAAAAAATAAATTTACAGAGGGTGCAAAGAGTTGTTGAAGACTGCCAACTCAACCTAAATATTTGAAACATGTTCTTGCTAGGGTGATAGCCAGAAAATTGAAAGTACATGTCTGAAAACATTATTGAAATAAAAAAAATAGCAGTTTCTAGTCTGTATCCATAGACTCACATGTATGTCTATTTTTTGTTGTTTATTTGTGGTTATTTTATAATCCGGGGTAATTAGCCATGAAAATTGGACAGGTTTGTCTGTCGAAATGAAATTTTGCACCTGTGGAGTGCCTGTCTAAGGCAGACAGGTAGCTGGCTAAAAGCCTGGTACTTGGCCAACTACTTGTAAATGTTCACACGGTTACTCTACTTTGTACAAAATCACTGAAATAATTTAATAACTAAAGCACTTTATTACCTGAAGTCATAGTCAGGATGAAAAGAAGCATTCAATGTAGATGTAAGGTAGAAAAGCATCTTTCTACTACATGTATCACATAGTGGACCTTCTCCTTCAGAGCTTGTACTTCGACTGTACTGGCGGTTAGGACTCAATGACATCTGAGTTTGGGGAGGAGACAGCGCTTGAAGCTCATGTGGAGACTGTCCGTCATGGCTCATTGTCTTGAAAAGGCGTTTATCATTGCCTGCCATTTTACATGAGTAACTCTCAACCCTGAAAAAAGCAGCAACATTAAAGTTAGCTGACTAGTTGCATTATGCTGGAGATGAAAATAAAGTACATGTCAGAAATCAAAGATTGATAAAATATTAGAAATACAATAATTCGTTCAGAGTATCATTTAAATGACTGCTTATAAAATAGTTGGCAGCTGTTGCCTCAAGTAAAAAAAGAAAATCTAAAGGTTTGGATTCCCATGAAGTTTGCAAACATAGACCTGACCGAAAAACACATAGCACAGCAAAAATGTTATTTGAAAATGGGCTAATGTACTGATATATTTCAGCTTAAATTCTATAACAGTGTTTATGTTTATCGGAAGGCACATGATTTATGATTTTGCAACAGCTTGTACTGATTTATTTGAATTAAAAATTGAGAATCTAATCTAATGCAAATTTACATGTTTATATTACTAAAGATTTATATGTTAATACCATAATAACTAATATTTTCACATAAAAATTAAAAATGTACTTAAGTTTGTCTACATATAACCGGTCACTGGTAGCATAGTGGTTGTCGCTCCAGACTCATGATCGGTAGACGCAAGTTCAAATCCTACCTTAGGTTGAACATCAAAGGGTCAACCCCTACCCTGGGTGAGTGTGCCACAGACTCAATGGGAAGGCCAATTCCACTGGCCGAGATTCATTCACTAATGAATGCGACTTTGGGGGAACCTTTGTTAAGGTCCGCAGGTGCTTGTGTTCGACCGAGCCTGGTTGACGCCAGGATAGCGCATTAAAATTGTCATTTGACAGAGAGATGGCCACACAGCCCTGTCATGTAGTCCCAAACATGAATATGACTCCTGTGGCAAATGCACTATGTGTCAGCACTAGCACTTGCAATTTGCACATACAAAAAAAAAAAGTCAGGAGAGACAACAGTTACATTCAATGTCCAGAACTGTCGCCTGGCACAAAAATATTTAAAAAAAAAAAGTTTGTCTACAAACTAAGATGTCATTTAAAATTTAGTTTACCAACTTAGAGATATGTGATGAGGATATTTCTAGTAACATTTCAGTTAGTAAAAATTAAATTAATATAAAACAAAGATTATATTTCACGCTTGCACAATCCTGCTTTTACATTGACTTGACCAGATGAACATTACATTTGTATAAATACCAAATCCATTAATATTTAAAAATTAGTTTTGGAAGATTAATAACTATGGTATTGTTACTAAAATATTATTTATGAAAGCTTAAAAATAATCTTGCATACATGTGAGATGCAGCTGCGTGTTGAGCAAGATATATCCACCTATCATATCTAGCTGCATGTCTTGAAATCCTCGGGCAACAATTCAAAAAATTGCAATTGCCATATTTGCCTCTGAAGAGCCATGTAAACAACATTATCATCAGCAACACCTCTCATTGTTTTTTTTATTCTAATAGTTCTTTCTGAGTATTTATTTTATACCAGTGATATGTCCTCCACTAACAGAAAAGCTTTCATAACAAATGTTCTTTTGTTTTCTCATAGCATACTAGTAAGTGAATAATAATACTGTGGAATACTTTATTTTCGCTGGAATTAATTTTCGCTGAAAAGGCTTTTTGGGCATTTTGCTTGGAATTTATTTTCACTGATTTTTCATGAGTTTAATGTGAAATATAGGAAAAAAAGTATATTCGCTGGATTTTATTTTCACGGAATCATCCCTTCAGCGAAAATAGCAAAAATAAATTCCAAGCGAAAATAAAGTATTCTACAGTAGTTGTATTACTAGATAGATGGAAAGACCACTCGACCGACTGTGGGTTAACTGGTAAAACTCGTAGTGAAAGAACACTTGACAGCGTCAGACTAGTATATAACAATAACTTGCACCCTGCGTTGGTGCTTAAACTAAAAAATATATCGACTTATTATTTTGGACAGATACTCGATAGATTGCAAGAATATCATTCTGTCGATCAGGGATCACGTAGAATCGCTGAACATGGAGGTACCTCCATGTACTGAAGAAATTAACCAGCCCATTTGGTGGTAAAATTTTACCGGGGATAAAAGTCGTCCAAAAAAGAAACACAGTGTAACCAGACCAAACGTCTACGTGACAAACAATACATTTAAGACCATTGCAGTTCCGGGTCATTGAATAATTGAATCATAAATGAAGTATAAACAAATACTTACTTTCCGTAAATTTTACAATCACCAGTCTCGATAGACAATGCATCACTGATAGCTTCAAGCTGGGAATTCTCAAGTAACTTCATGTTGAGTATTCAGCTAAACAAATTTATCGTAGCCGGTCGTTAAAAATAAAATAAAAAGTCAAAATGACAAAAGGCGATCACTGACACTCGGACAACGACTGACTCTGCTTATTCAATGCACTTCCCTGTCAAATTATAGATTAATATTTACACTAAATATATAACAGTGTAGTTTCAGTTCGTGAATATGGCACTTGGGTGACTATACGGTCGTGAACGTCGAGTTTGCATAGAAATTGTTCGATCGAATACGACTGAGGAAGCAGTGTCCGTTGAATCATTCCCCGCCATCAAAAATCTACGCGACTCGCCCAGGCAACAAATTTAGTAGTTTCCAATAATTAGAACAGAAATATGTAATCTTGATATGGAATAGTATTCAGCGCACACTCCGGTCAATAACAGGTCGTATCAATATAGTTATACTTCGGGTCAAACAGGAATATTGACCAAAATAATTCACATAAAGGCAACACAAAGTGTCAACAGCTGAAAAATAATACAATGTTTATTTGTACCCCATTCGGTGATTGTTTTGGATACCCATAGTTCCGCGACACCGCCTTGTTTACCATACAATCTACCTAAAAGAGAACTGGTTCTAAGAATTGTGGGTAATATGACTATATTAGCGATTTAGGGTAGTGACTAAAATAGATCTGCATGACGTCATGAGCGATGCCATTTTTCAAAATAGGAGGAAAGACGACAGGTCGGGAAAAAAAAAATTAGTGGCGATAGAATCAATGAATTTTTCATTATATCGACCATCTTAAATTGTATACAAAACAGCGATATAGATATTGCTTACATATCCCCACAGAATAAATATAGTTTTCGACGCTTTGTGGCGCGCACCAGTATTCCCTTTCCGGTTACCCCCCCCCCCTCGCATTACTTTGTAGCGAAGGGACTTTCCACCCTCACAGATTTCCCTGCGTCAGTACACGGAACCCGGAAGCACGTAACATAAAATGTCTTTCTAAATCGTAAGGCTACAAACCCTCTGTGATGGTATCTCTCAGAAGTTCAAAAACAGATTAAAGCATGCTCGGGACGATGCTGGCGTCCGGGAGAGCCACCTTGCTTCGATACGATCCAAATGGTAAACCACCATGGCGACCACTGACTGAAGGCAGTCCAACTGATGGTACACCTGCCCTTCTGCAATTATATGAACTTCAAGGAGCACAATTTTCGTTTGTGGCGAAATATTTACATACGAATACGGTGAGAAAACACTGTGGGTTACTTCAATATTATTTTTCATTCAAATCGGAGAGAGAGGAGTGTTTTAAACAAATACTGTGATAGTGGTAATAGCATGACGCGATTGGCTGAAAAATGTGTCCTATTTGCATATATTAATAATTCACTAAAATGGAAAATAAGTGTTTTTAATGACACTACACGATAATACATATTAAAACATCCAATATCTGCAATATAGCCCCAAAGAGATGGTTCTACAGTTAGTAACAGAAAAAAATATTGAAAATTGTGATTTTTACCTTTCTCAATCATATTCATGAAAGGAATATAGGAGGAAAATTTTGTCATTTTAGCTCCGCTGTCGACTGATTGTCCGTCGTCGTCAACTTTACAATTTCAATTTTTTCTTTGAAACCGCAAGTAAGAATGTTTGTTCATTTCGTGATGATATCTTTAATTCTCTAATTTTGATGAATACTTTTGTCATTTTTGGTAAAAAGTGATATTTTTGACTTCTTGCAAAATACAGCAAGTCCTATTGCTTTGATATTACATATATAGGTACTACATGTGGACCTCTCTCAGATTTGTTCATTTTTACCTTGCCCGTACCATCAAAAATGGAAGGGAAAGGTATATTAAGGGAAAGATTTTGTCCGGCGTTGTTGTTGTTGTCGTCGTCATTAATAATTGTTATTGTGTGCATAATAACTTTACTAATTCTATTCCAAACTTCATCAAACTTGGTCACCTTATTCATCAGTATAATGTCTTCCCTGAGTTTGAACAACAGATGTCCTGTATGAAAATATCATGCAAAAATTGAGAAAATCTGATAAAATATTTTGACTGTTTCTACTTGACTGATCACTGGTGATACACATCAAAGGTCACTGATCTCAGTGGAAATATGCATTGTTGTATGTGTTCAATGAAGCAAATGATTTATCTTGTAATAATATCCTTGGTAATGTATTCCAGAATCCCATACTGGGTTTCAAAACCAACTCATCG